TGGCCGTTAATCAGGAGAGTGATTCATCTTTTTCGGAAAAATTTTTTATGAGGCGCAAATGCTGAATTTCGCTCTGCGAGTTTAAAAGATAAAAGGGATGGTGCGATTTAAATTTCGAATATATTATGTGCGACAATCGTGTAAAATTTTATTTGACCACTTCTCGAGATATCTGTTTTTAAAGTTTACTTTTAACATTACTTTGTTGCAACAGATATATGAAATATTACCTATGACATTGCCACCTACTCACTTCGCGCAATATTGGGTTTTCGCAGTTATTGAGCGTAATTTTATTACAGCAAATTGATTGTCTAATGATTGTCTAATGATTATATAGAAAAAATAGAGAGCGAAATTCAGCATTTGCGCCTCATAAAAAATTTTCCCGAAAAAGATGAATCACTCTCCTGATTAACGGCCACAAGCAAAAACTTAATGTTCATTAATAGAACTGATAGCGAGATTGTAAGCTAATTTGATATTCTAAATAAAGATCTCACGAGTGTGAAACTCGAGTAAAGATACATAAAACTTTGCCCACGATTATTTAATATGATTCTACTAACGGCAAATTGATTGTATCTAATGGTTAAATAGATAGAAAGAGAGAGAAATTTATTTCGCTTCGTAAAAAATTTTTCTACAAGAAAATGAATCACTCTCGATTAATGATCACAAAAAATAACCTAATGTGTTCACTAATGCAACTGAAAGCGAAACTGAAAGCCGATTCGATGTTCAAAGTGGAGATTTACATTAGCGCGAGATTCAAGCAAACACATACGGAAAAAAAAGATTTGTTACATATGGACAACTAAACACAATTTGTTGTATTAGCCATTTTTTCTTTGCTGCAGGAGCCAATTTCAATTAAAAGAGATTTATCGAGTGTGAGAAACTTGTCAAGTACAAGCTGCGTTTGCGTACTCATTGTCAGAGTACTGAAAGAATACTACTACAATGGTACATATAACGTTAACCATAAATTTTCGGTATTTGCTTGATTTTCAGAGAAAATTCGAAACGTAGCCATAGAATAAATATACATTAAATGTAGGCAGCTTAGAAATGCTTGAGAAAATATAAAATGCGTTACGCGATCGTGAGAACACTACAAAAAAACTTTTCTTATATCTTGCATAGGTTTTATATATTTATATACTTTTAGAGAAATATGTTAAGTGATGTTAGCATGGAACATTGATAATAGAGCAAATACAAAGTGTTTGCCGCATGTATGTCCGTTGAAACATGATTCATCGAAGCAAAGAGGGCGGCCAAATAGATATGAGCGCTGTGCCTATATTCCCGGCAGTCCAATATAGGGTCGATATGTATACCAAATTAAAGATCTCGATGAACTGAAGACGACGAACTATGTCTCATTTTGGTAGGGTGCATGGGGCCCGAGAAATCGGACCCGAAAGAAAGCGAGTTTTTAAAGGTCTTTGATGCAATAAAAATGTGAAAATAGTGAGTTATGTTCCCACACATATATATATATATCTTATTTTGTATTTTATTCTTACTATTGTGCCAAACTGATAAAATTACAAGTTCTTCTACTTTATAGTTGAAATATTCTATAAAAAGTTTAAAAAGAAAATAAATATATAAAATTTGCAATAATTACTTGCATTGATGAGATTATGTATCTTGTGACACTTATTTTAATAGAACCAAGAATAGAAATAACTTCATTACTTTTGTGAAAGCACTTATTATTTGCTCCCAGGAATATATTTTTCCATGGGCATCATGCCAATTCCTTATATATTATGTTTAGGCTTATGGCTAAAAAATTATATGATTTGTAATACATAATACACAAAATACATAATAAAATTATATACATAATAACACATAAATTAAAATTTTATTTCAACAAATTTATATTACATATTTTTTTTCTTAGCTCTAATAGACCTTCTTTATTTCTTATATTGTAATAATATATCACTATCAACTCTTCAAGTTTTTTCCAGAGAGAGAGAAAGAGAAAGAGCTTGTTTTTCATCATTATATCAATTATGATCTCATCTATTTCCTTTATCTTTTCACACCTTCTTAAGATTCTCTCATATTTATTTGTCTCTGGATTAATTTTATCAGTTGTGTATGATCATCATATTTACAAATGTTCTATATTTTTAGAAAAAGAAATAAAAACTCGCAAACAAAAATATAAATCAATAACTAGGATTTCCTACTTATTGTTCTATATTTTGAAATATATTGTGATATAATGTAAGCATGTCATAAAATTTTTTAATTAGCTGAAGATTGCTTACAGAGAAGCATATTTTCTTCACTTTAAACTCACGAGATGTTTAATCTTTAATGATACACTTCATAAAAATATAAAAACATATCGTGGAAAAAAATGAAAACACAAGAAAGGCTTTGTGGACATGATTCAATTACGTTATTTTGTATTATCATTGTTGATTATACAGCAGTCTAATAATCAGTACTAATTCACAACAATGTCGCTCAAAGTCAAATTTCTTTATTATATAAACCGTGTGAAATTCTATAGTTCATGTCACGTATACTATAGAATTTCAGCACTGACAGTGAATTTCGGAACGCAGCCTAAATCCGCGATTGTACGTAACTGGAAAGTATCCGTAATTGGTCTAAAGTTAGGAATCTAAAGGGACGTCTACATTGGAAGTAAGCAGTAAGAAGTAGGAAGTAAGAATAAGAAATTGACCAATCATAGTTGATTATTCTTCTCACATTCGACTGTGGTTGGTCAATTTCTTACTCTTACTTCCTACTTCTTGCTATTTACTTCCAATGTAGACGTCCCTTTACAATGTTGAACGCAGCTATAGTAAGTATAAACCACAGATGTCTATACTAAACTAGATTGCTAACAAGAGCTTCGTCGCGTAAAATTTCCGGTTGCATGCGAGAAAATGGCGGCGGTCCTGTGTGTGTGACGTGTAGTAAACTATATATATATATATATACTAGAAGGCTTAAGGGACATCTACATTGGAAGTAAATAGCAAGAAGTAGGAAGCAAGAGTAAGAAATTAACCAACCACAGTCGAATGTGAGAAGAATAATTAACTATGATTGGTCAATTTCTTATTCTTACTTTCTACTTCTTACTGTTTACTTCCAATGTAGACGTCCCTTTATGGTTCCTGCACAAGCGGTAATGCTTGCCGCGCGGCGGAAGTTCGCGCGACAGCCAATATGCTGCTCCCCGTAATAGCCTTCTAGCTCTTACGGAAAAACAACATATTGATTGATTGTCGCGCAGACTTCCGTCGCGCGGCAAGCATTACCGCGTCCTGTGTGCAGGAGCCATTAGGTTAGTGACACACAAAAAAACTTAAGCAGTAAAACGTAAGCAGTAAGCAAATTGACTAATCACAGTCATTGATTCTTCTTACGGTCCAAGAATCAATGACTGTGATTGGTAGAAGAATTTGGCCTTAAGGCCAAATCACACTAACGATTGGCGATAGATGATTGACGATTGAAGATTAGATCTTGACTAATTGGAATAAAGCAAGCCAAGGCTGAAGCTTGTTGATTCATTAATTTCTAACCTTTAATCGTCAATCGCCAATCGCTAGTGTGATTTGGCCTTTAAGGCTGAGTTCGGAAACACACACTGTGTGCACACTACTAGACGATAGCCGTTGGAATGAGCGAAATACAAGAGTGAAATAAAAAGAGAGGAAGAGTACTCGAGTGACGTTTCCGAACGCAGCCTAACGCTCAATGCACAATGCCAAGCAACAGGCAATAGGAACAGGGAATAGGAATTCGAATTGGTCAATTATTTCTATTCTCTGTTCCTATTGGTTAATGCCTATTCCTATTGCCTGTTGCCTGGCATTGTGCATAGGGCTTTAATCAGGCTGGTGCCGCTCTCATGCTTCTCTCTAATTGGAATATTTCTATCTGTCGTTACTAGAGGTCGTTTCAGCAAAACTGAGTTGCAGTGAAGACGAAATCGGTGATTCAGGCAGAGTTTTCCCGTCGTTGTAGTCGTTTGGTCCTGTAGGATCTGTGAGGTTGTACACTCATGTATATGCGTACAGTTGCGACGAAGGATTAACCCGAAGTATCATCAAGGTGTTTCGTAGAGATCAGCACCTTTCGCTCATACTTAGCGTTAAACAGAAATAGTGAAAAAATAGAAACACTTAATCCTCAACGCCAAGTAATATGTCGGATATACGACGACGTCGAAAGTCCAATCAGTCGTCCGACGATCTCTCGGACTCGTGTGAGGAATTGAACGTAACAAAGGAGACTCAGGTAAAGTATTTTTCTATTATCTCATAAATACAGAATCTCTCGAAGAGACGTGCATTTTATTAGCATTTCGCACGAATAATTTTTTTGTTTGCCATGCATCCCGCGTACAAACGTAATGACGGAAGTTTACATCACGTTTGCGCCGCGGAATCAATCGAGGACAGATCGCGTTAAGTAGGCCGGCGGGTCACTTTATTTTAATAGCAATCGACGATTTTGCGATTGCCTTTTAACTCAATTCAAACATTTCAATCGATTTTAGACTTATGCTAGGATGCAACAAATGTTGCATCCTAGCGTACTCACAGGCATGTTCTATCATAATCTGATATATTCTAATATATATTCCGTGAATATTCTAGATATTATTTTACATATTAATTTATACAACTTGTATACAGAGTAGCGAACAAACTGATGGACACCAGGATTCTGAGTGTGATATTTATGAAAGTGATTCTGATGCTGAATCACAAGATGGAGGAGAACAACGAGAAAGTGGTGATGGTCAAGAAGAAGAAAAGCCACAAAAGAAGTTGGATGATGATGAGGACAGACGTAATCCACAGTATATTCCAAAGCGTGGAACATTTTATGAACATGATGATCGTACAACTGATGAGATAACTGACAATAACCCAGAGACCCAAACTAGTGTGAAAGAGACTAAGGAGAAGAAAGTATGGAAGGATAAGGGAGATAGATGGGATCATGATCGATACAATGACGAAGAACAAGCTCCAAAAAAGCCTGAAGAGTTAATAGCAACATATGGTTATGACATAAGAAATGAAGAAGGACCACCTAGAGCTAGGAGGAGAAGAAGATATGGGTAAGTTTGTTGATAAAGTTTCAGCTTAAATCTTGATTTTATTGTGTATTTGTATTACAAATTATATATTTTCTTAGTCGTGGGCCTAATAAGTATACAAGAAATTGGGAAGATGAGGATGCCTATGGAAAAACTGGTAATACTCCTGGTAGAGTAAATAATAGGCGCTTCCATAAAAATAATGAAGATTTTCCTACTCTTGGTTCTAGTAAAGTGAGTATTACGTCATACATAATCTCAGTAATGAAATTAGTTATTGTGAGCTTTATACGTTTCTTTTTTAAATTTCTACAGAATGCTCCAAGTAAAGTAGAAGAACCTGTAATTTCATCGGCTTGGTATAGTAGTAAAAATAAAACTCAAAACAAGGTACAAAATTTTCCACCTCTTCAATCCCAGCAAGATAATACAAAATCTAAGACTTCTACTGTTTCCAACACATCCACGTATGTAACAATTTTTTATATTTGTGAAACGTATTTCTAAAAAAAAAATGCAAATAACGTTTTGCATGGGAAAATTTATTATAGGAATGACAACAAAGCGCCAAATGGATCTACTAATACAGCATGGAAGAAAGATGGTAAAATTTTGGTCCAAAATCAAAATGCAAATGGAAGTAACGGATCTGGTGGTGATGCGGAAAAATTAGCCAGTAACAAAGTATCGCCAAGGGAAAATAATAAGAGAAATGCCCAAGAGTCCGTAAGCTTAGCCGCGAGTAGGACACGTGGTAGAGGTTTCAAATCTAATGCCAATAACAATATGGTCACTAACAGAATAGTCGAGAATAAATCGAAAGGCCGTGGTTCTGGTCCAGTTGCTATTGAGAATAGAAGGAACAATACTGCACAGCTCAATGATGAGCACCAACTTGTTCATGATATGAAACAACTTAATGTTAATGATAGTACTCAATATCATCAGACTGCAAGACACAACAGTGAGTTTTTGTTAAATATTCCTGTAAACGCGAATGTTGCAGAAATATTCACATCAGATAATTATATAGTATTTCTTAGATCAATATTTTGATCTACTCTTTCTCATTTTTATTTGTAGAAGGCTTCTTCGCGTCCTCCAATCAGCACAGATCAAACGCAGTACCACCTAGAATGCAGCAGCAACAGTCGCACCAGCAACAAACGCATTCGCAACAACAGACCATACAGCAGCAACAAGATGGTTCTGGAAACAGACCTAAACGATACTCGAGTCAGCGTCAGCGAACCACCATTTCGGAAACTTCAGGCCAGCAAAATTATCAATCTCAACATGGACAGCATGGATATTTTCCACCTCAAGGTAACTATACATACATCGATACGTTCTATTTTAAATTTACTTTATCATAATTTCTATTTGCTAAATTATTTCTTGCGATAATTGATGAGTGAGCATGTATTTGATATTAATATGTTACTTGTATGTACGCGTACCTAGCTGGAAATTCAAGAGCTGTTCTAGAATCTCAAGGTAGGGAAGAAAAGATATCTCCTATATAAGAGCATCTATCCTTAAAAAATATAAATTGGAATATGTAACGCTAATTAATCGGATATACATAGAATTATTTACATACAAATTAACCGATTAATTTAGAATAGTATCGCGCATTATTTTACGAACCTGTCGACTGCTTATCACGATTCATCATGTTTGCTAACATTTCAGGCTACCCGCAAGGACATTTTGAGCAATCTTCCGCAGTTGCTCCAGCCACAACAGCCATGGCAGGGCAACCTGTTATTTCTTTACCGCCTAGCGGACAACCTGCTGGTTATCCGCCACCAGCATATTTAGTACCATCACCTCAATTTATTCCTCCTCAAACCGCACCTCCTAGTATAATTAATTATGTTCCCGGCCCAAATGGTCCAACATTCCCGCCGAATTTTCAAGGTTACCAAGGATATAATCCTTCGGTACAGGTAAGAATAACAGATTTATAGTTCTTTCATTGTGTATATGTTACTTAAATATTTTGTACAAATATATATAATTTTTATGACGTATTTTATAATATTGTAGCCTCAAGGACCACCACCGCCCCAAGAATTGTTTCAACCACAAGGATGTACTTATTATAGTCCAGCGCAGCAACAGCAACAACAAGCGCAGACAGCTCCTATGCGACGTCCAAAAGCGGCGATACCTATTCTTCCACCGCCCGATAATCAGCAGAGTAGCAGAGGAAGAGGTAGGAGTACTCAGCAGTATCAACAAAATAATCAACCTGGTAATACGCAACAGACTGAACAAGAAGTCAAGATTAATACAGTGGCAGGAAGTGACGATAAACCCGTGCCAGGACAATTCGACAGTGTGCAAATCGAGCAATCGAATACGCCGAAAGATCAAGAATCTCAAAAGATTCAAGCTTCTTTGGATGCAGTTAGAACAGTGAATATCGACGAGATCGTAGACAAAAATATCAATGTCGATACTCATATAATGCTTGACGCATCATCTGTTAAAAAAGATAACCTAGATGACAGTGTCAGTGTGAAAACATTGCTGGAGACAACTTCCAATGAAAAAGATGCTGTTTCACACAATCCAGCTATATTAGCTACTACCACCACCACCACGGAGACTGAACACGAATTAAGTAACATTGAATCCGCGATTACCGAAAATACCATTGTCGAAAAAGCGGCAGCCTAAGAAAAAGTGTAATTATTATATGCACTTTATATTTATACGCTACCGTCGTTTTCCCATTGACTTATCGCAAATTGCAAACATTTATATAAAATGGGACTTGACTGTTCGCAATGTGTAGGGGGATATTGCTTCGAATGCATCTGGTTCATTCATATATCCGCATTCGTATATTTACTCTCGCAATTGCTCTGTGCATGCAATTGTTTGCTATAGAGATATCAGGGACTCGGAATAATTAATCGCTCTATTCGCATGTTTCATTCGGGAGTGCGATAACACGATATCTTACGATCGACTAAAATGTCGAATCTTAAAATGATGCTTTTTATCGCAACCGTGCATTAAACTAATTAGGTGTCTGACGTGCGTGTATATTGCGACTTATAACTTTAGGAAACCTGATCTGCCACTGCAGCCACGTTAGCTATTTATTTTAAGATAAACTTGAGATAGATAGATTTTACGTAGACTAGCTAAACATTGTATTTAATTAATATCTCTGCATGCTATTTGTTACAATTAATTCGCAGTACGGGCTTTACGAGATATGTGACAAAATGTATCTTTGACATTTTATATGAGACTAAAATTGCTCATTGAGAAATCACTCTTCTTTTGGTTTATCATTGAACAAATGGCTGCAAAATTGGGTCAGTTATTCTATATTTTTGCTTGAAGCGGAACGCGTATAGATTATGTGAAAATATGAAAGATTATATTATTATTATTATTATTAAGAATTTTATATAATCAATTATATAATAAACAGAGGACTTCAGTATAATTGAAGAAAAGCTTATGCGATATCACGTTCAATGGCATCGTCCAGTAATCCAGCACGACAGTGACCTATCGAAGAAACCTTAAAAAAGACGTCTTCACACAATTAATTAAAATAAAATGTTTTCAAAAAATTGATATCCAAACAATTCTATTCGATGCAAATAATAACGTCTAGATAGAAATCTCGTAAAGTTGATGTTATTATTGCCTTGTATTGAGTAATGACGATTTTTTTTTTATAAGCAGAGTTTACTATAGCTGGTCGCACTGTTTAGCGGAAATCATTATTGTGTACTAATAATGTAATATACTCGGCAGCTACGTGGCCGCCATGACTGCGAGACACGATATAACTAATAACTCTACATACTTTTTCAATGTTACAACTACTTACAGTGCAGAAATGTTTGTAGTTATAATATTAATGAAATATATATTTCATTGAATAACGTAAATGTGCATATATCTTTATACGTGTTTATGAATAATTTTCTGTACGCGATTAAAAGGTAACAAAAGTAAAAAAGTATCTAATAATATGTCTGTTAATCTCTCTTTCTCTCTCTCTCTCTCTTTCTCTAATAATAATATGTCTGTTCTTTCCACCTGCGCGTTTTGTACACATTTCTGCACTACTTTTTTCTCATTTGTACTTGCGTAGAGATAAAAGTACGTTAGTGTCATCTTAACGAAAGAAAACGTAGGGGAGTACAGCTGGAATGAACAGATCTAATGTTTATTTACTACTTAATTTTCTTTTGTATTATAAATATTTTATGAGATATTTTGCATTATATATTTACATATTTTAAGATCTATTCAATACAAACTGGCTATTAGTCGCAAACAATATACATTGCTTTTTTCAAGCTGTCTAAACTACGTATCTCTAAGTTCTGGATAGTAAAGTCTTTAATCATAGAAATAATATGTTATTTTCAAACGTATATATTAAAATTTGCGAGAAAACGCGTCCAGATGCGTCCAGAAGCGATCGATTAATTTTCTTTTCAACTCATCCTAGAATCATTATAGCTAGGAATATAATAATGGCAAAGTTGTACACACATACAAAGCCTTAAAAACCAAATTCTATAAAATGGATAGAGCTTTCAACATGAAATTTATAAGGTGAACTTCTTCGCAATAAAGTGTAAATTTAAGCGAAAACGAATCGAAAATATACGTCATTCACTGTAGTATATTGTACAGTTTATAGGATTAATACCATATATGACAACTTTATATGATAATTTTAAGATATATATAGAATTACATATACACTTTATTAAACTTTGTAGATATATTTTGATCATTACACGTCTTCAAATGTATCATAGAAAATAAATATTACATTACAAGTGACACACGCAAAACATACTGAACGCTTTCGTCAAACAGAGATTATATTTACACTTTGCGTTCGTTTGTCTGTTTTAAATTTTGCTATGCGTTTAAATCACCAATTTCAATTATCAATCTTTGATGCTCATTATTATTTATCGGTATATATTTGCCATGTGAGTATAAAGTAAAATATGTTTATGAAACAGTCAGTTCGATGATATCGCACAGACTAATATCTTGTAACTCTTTATTTAGAAGCTAATATTGAATAAAAGATAGCGTCGTATGGATCGAGTTCATCTCAATTTCACAAAGGAAAGTTTTTTCATATTTTGCAGTATTATGCTTCGCACGAAATTTCATCCAAGTTTTTCATTTTGCGGCATGTTGATTATAGCACTAAGAGGTATAACCTCGGTACTTTGTTGAACATTGTTATTATTGGACATCGTATGAATCGATCTTGTGTTAGTCCGAGATCGCTGTTTGAGAGGATCCAAGACACCCGTTACGTATCCATGCTTGTAGGCGCAAGTTCTGCTGTTGGGGAAACACCGAAAGGTACGCTTAAATTCCTTCCGAAATTTTCCTGTAACAGATTTATTCGCATCGTATAATTTTCATGATAAAGCTAAAGCAAAAACGTATATTCGATATAATCTAAAAAAAGGCTGTGTGACTTTGTGTACAAACGGTGTTTTGCTTGATCTTATTGAAGGAAAATCGGTTTACGTCCGCGTTTCTTACGCTTATAAATTGATCAATATGTTTGATTTGGTTATAGTCAAAATTGGATGTAAAACATCTTGTCGTGATGGTCAAAAGGTCTATTGTACAGGACTTATCCGCTCATTACAACAGGTGTGAAAGAGAATAAGAGGATCAATAACTAATGTCTACAGTACCACTAACTATCGTGTGCACTATGTCTCACCCTATAAATACGAGTACGATCAATCTAACGAGTGCCGATTGTCGAGACTGTCCCCGTCTCGGCGAACGTCGTTTCGGCCACGACGCTCGTACGTACAGGTGTATTTTCGAGTTGTATTTTCGTCGGCCGCGACGTTCGTTTCGCCACGTGTCAAAACGGTCGATTTCGCAAGCTCGTGCGACACCCCTTCGTGTTTTCGTCCGGTAGTCTAACCGCATTCTCGGGGTACCGCTTGCTCGGGGAACCGCATTCTCGAAAACTACGACGGAACTCTCGCCGGAACTTATCTGCAATGCAGAGCACCGAATAGTCCGACTAATGACTCGATCTTAGATGTAGCGGGCACATTAATGCCGCATAAATGCATTAACGTTTCGCCGTATTCAGCCACGTCGGCGATCCGGCTTCTCCTCGTCGCGGAACTCTTGATGGACAACGTCAGACGTGAGAAAATACGCGCGAAAAATTCTTATGAAATACGTTGAAATAAAAATCCATCAAATGACACTTTCGATTGAGTAAACTTGTAAAACGAACATTCTTTTCCTTTGTTCGAACAATCAATAAAGAACCGTAAAATTAATGTAGCATTATCTTCCTCTTTACCTTATCTTCTTTCGTGTTTTTGTTATGTTAATTTTGTGGCTATTTATTGATTGTTAAAGTAAAAGGATAGTGTTCAGACTATTTTACGGGTCTATTCGATCGATTGCAAATATCACTGTGTAAACATATCATTTTATTTCCACGTATTTTGTAAAAATGTTTATTTTCTCGCTTCTTACACTATAAATCAAGATAGTGACGCGTCACTGTGTAAATATGTCATTTTATTTCCATATATTTTGCAAAAATTTTTAACGTGTGTTTATTACTTTTGGCTTATAATGGATAATGGCTTTTTACGTCATTAATCAAGATGGCTGCGTGGCGGCATTGTTACAACGAATCGACAGCTAAATGTTCCACGAATGCGATTTACTAACAATAAAATTCTAATTATTCTAAGGAATTAAGAGTTATAGTTTGGGCGTTTAAGAGATCCGCTTTATCGGTCGACACGCGGTACTACGCGGATTTATTCCGAGTCCAATAGATTCCACGGCGTAGTTTTTTCCATATACGAAGAAGAATAGATGAAATGAGATTTTTGGCAAGCGTTGCTTGCGCCACGAGAGCTAATTCGGTGTGAGGTGCGAACCAGTTTTACACGGCGAATAAGCACCGTGAAAACAACGACGAGAGTGCACTGCGTGCACTCCGACGCGTCATGCATTTTAATAGAAGTCACTTCGGTACATTCGGTAATCTTGTACACCTCTATGTTCAGGAAATATCACTTCATGTACGAGATATTCCGAGATAAATCCACTGGAATCGCAACTGATTTTTCCTTGGCGAGAATGACGAGAAAGATCGATAACTTTTTATTGTTAGATCTCTCCATTTTCAACGCGAAACATGTGTTCGCTTCTTTAATCGATATATTCTGAACGTTACTTTTCATTTTCTTTTCGCAGCTCTTCATAAGCGTTCCAACTATTCCGTTAATGCCTCCGAAGCGTCATTTAACGTTAATGCACGTCCTTACCGCTCATAAAATTATAGATGACAGGATTCACCGCGCTATTGAAATAACAAAGCCAGTGAGCGATCAGACTGACAGCGATTGTCCATTGATTTGACGGTAACGCAATGGTAGACCTGAAACAACAGATTCGATACATTAAGTATAAGTGATTAATTCGATACATTAATTGTATACGGTAGATTTGTTGCGTTGAGCGTCGTATATTGATGAGCATTATTTTCATACGTCGTTACCGAAAAGTACACACAAAAAAATATAATTCTACTCTGCTAAGAAAATCGATTATTCAATTTACTTTCCTTTTCTTTTAAGTAATGACTATCTTCAACAAAAAATATGTAGTAAATAAACCGAATTTTTTTTTAAATTTAATATTCTTAATTGAAATGCTAAACTTACTAGGATTCAGAATGTGTTTTGAATAAATTTAATACTTATGATAGATTTGCGAATATAAATACTTATGAAATACTTGAAAAAAATAACATTTACTTTACTGCAATATGTTTTCTTTCTGCCTGGATTCACTTTAATTTATTCTTTCTTTTTGTAATATACCATGCATGAACGGCATAAAATTGTAAATATTGTCGAGTATACCTTAGGATAGACAGTAAGTGGACCGGAAAGAAACATATCGCGAAGGTGAGGACCACAGCGACCAGCATTTTTGCCGCCTTCCGTCGGGATCTCAATTGACCCTCCGGATTTCCACCCCCGGACAATGGGATCTCGTTTGAATGGCATACTCTAGTGGACACTACGATAAAAAGGAAATGTCAGAGCAGCGGCGCAAAGTATATCGAAAACTTGGTTTTCGTTAGTTATTTTAGAACCCTCGTTTCACTCCGATCTATCTGTCGTTTACCGTAAAGCGCACGGCGATAATCCGATCATTTCTCCAGTTTAGATCGGATTATCAGAGAGAGTTGTATTGTATTTCATAACCGAACTTACATTACCTTGCGAATAAGCAGCTTATATTGTAATTTGTGAATATGACAGATCCGATTTCGATCAGAATCATCCACTAGATTCGTCATTATGGACAACCTGACGAGAACATTGACCTTTGCGCACATATCACTTATGCGAAAATACACATAATCCCGCGTGGGATTCTGCGTAGAGTATATTCAATTAAATTTACCAATTTTTTAGATTAAAACTCAAATTGAATGTGGTCTGCATACAATTTTCTATAAAGTTCTCAACCACAAAAACATATATCCTTTCTTTTATTCTCGAGAGTCAATCGGGTTGTCCGCGCAACAGGAACACGGACATGTGTTCTATCGGGAATTATAAGGTAAGCTCTCTTCTTCGCACTGCGAGGGAAGTGAAAAGAGGGCTCTCGCCTTGTCATTCCCCCAATAGAAACATAAATTATTACGGATTCAGGTGTTATTTCTTCATTTATCATGCGCAGAGTTTTACACGAACGAATTATAATACAGAACATTATTCCTCGCTCTTACGATTATGTCCAGGAATATCGCTTCTCCAAAGGACGCGCACAATCTGCCAATACGCTACGCTCATGAAGAGTAACGGCCCGGTATACAAGAGGATCAGTTTGACGATCGTGAAGGTAGTTTGACTCTCTTGACTCCAGGACCAGACGCATTGCGTGAATAGGATAGTCTCTACCCGACTATTCGACGGCACCGTGTGTAACACCAGCAATTCCGGAATGTCTGACGAAAAGATACACAAGATATATGAATTAAAGTTGTGTCTTTTGACGATACTTACTGTCCAATCGAGTGTTTATGCGTGAATTACGATACATTACGTCTACATGCAGACAACTTGAACTATATATATGAGATGTCATCTATATAGGCAATCAGTAATCGACGAATGTCATTTAAAGAACGTATAGCTTCCTAAAAAATTAATTAAAAAAAATTTATATGTTTACTTCACATTTAGTCCTGGCAGTGAAAGCAATTTAGACCAAATGAGCCGTTGTTCCAGGTCATAAGAAAAAGAAGAAGGAGAATTTCGTATTTAGAATCCTGATGTGAATTTAAACGTTGTTTACTGAGCAAGAGAGTCCATAGTTTTCTTTAGTTCCATTTCTTTTCTCTAGTTCCATTTTCATCAACAGTGAATTAAATCTAAATGCGATCTGTCACATAATGAAATAAAAATTTCATGCAATTTGTTGTCTCTATTAAACATTACATTTGATATTCAAAACAGATAATGTCTCATAATTTAATTGCTCTTTTCTGTGTATTTTAATACAATTTACAACACTACATTATTACATTATTATTTACATTGTCTATAAGAGAAATGATCGACGTATACATCGTGAACAACGTAATCTTGAAATCTAGGGCACAACTTTATCCAATTTTACATCCGAGATCAAACTGTAAATATCGCTTTTTGTTTTCCCAGCGAAAAGATCTCCCCATTAAGAAGTAACAAATATTTTAATTACCGAAAAGCAGCGCTATCAACCAGATGATTATGATAGCTGTCTTTGCTCGGCCAGTCGTTGACTTGAACCGCAGCGGGAAGCATATGGCGTACCACCGGTCGATCGATATGAAAGTCAGCGTCAAAACGCTCACACTCACCGATACTGTCTAAAACAATGAACATTATCACATTATATATTAATGTAGCAAAGAAGCTATTGTCCTATCCTATTCCCTCACTTTAGACTGATAGCAGTGTATCGCAAAGGAACAATCGCGCTCGTAAAACAAGCGAAATCAAGGAATTAATATCTTTCAACAAACTATCGTACGTGCGTAATATCCAATGACGAGAGACAGAAGGCGTATTGCCTTTTTTAATCTTGTATCTGACACGAAATAATTCTGCGCAGTCTCATCGGCGATGTAGCACGTTTTAATTAAATCGCAGCTATCTGCCGCTCGCGCGAATTGTATCCGTCACGCTAGCACGCGTAACTCGCGCGATAATAACAATAGCACGTAGCAATTGTTACGACGGCGAGCGATGTTTCTCTTCTTCTTAATCTAAAATTATATCGAGTCCCTTGGCCGCCGGCAAAATGCGCCAGAACTCTTCCAGTCCTGATGACGAGTAAAGGAGTAAGACAATCAAATTTTCCCAAATCGATAAAGGAAAACTTGTGCAAGACTAATATTTTCATACGGAAGAAATAGTACGGCCAAATTTGCTTTGTGAATGATCGAAAAATAATGGAAAATAAAATAATCGATAAACATCAATTATTGAATTTAATGATATATTAGAAAATGCTGGTTGTACCAGTAATTGAACTGAAAAATGAATCATGTTTTAATTGCCAAATAATACAGATTCAATGATCGAATGCTCATTAAATAATGTTATAAATATTGGCATATATCTTTTAACAAAATTTTAAAAGTTTTTTTTCAGAAATATAAGATACAAATACATTATTGACGTTTCACAACATTAAATCATTAGAACATGTTCAATCACTGAAATATTTTATCTTATCGTGCATAGTTTGCACCAAATACCATAAGAAGTTTGCTGAGAAAGTTCTCACGTTTGCGATAGTTTCAATAGAATTTCAAGGGCGAAATTTTTCGGCGTGGTTCGTAAAGTCGAGTCTTAACCGATAAAATTGTATCTCTTAATTTCATCTGCTTCATAAAAATATTAAATTTGATTAAAGTCTGGGAGGGACACCTCGCGAATGTTTTCACGCGCGTAAGAGATACGGAGAAACGCATTAGGAAAAGCCGGTACGCAATAATGAAATAAGTGCACACAGACAATTACTCCGTAGAGTTTAACGCTATTAGGCGCTACGCATCCGTCGCAAACTTTTCACGTAGATCCAGCGCTTTCGCTCGCTCGAGATGCTTCAACAACGATACACACACTCGAAAATGCAATCTCGCGCGCGTATTACGTGCGTTACGCATTAGCGAAATGATTAACGATGTAATTGTCTCGTCACTGGAAAGCACGAGACGAGCCGACCAGGCTGGTCGCCCCTGTGGCGTAGTGGGCACGTCAAAATCGTCTCCTTGAAAAATTCATACGGTCGATCGCGCTGCGAGATAGAAGTATTGCGTGTAAAATATAACCCAGCTTGGACGTGTTTGAGCCCGCATTCTACAGCGATCTTGATATAGTACCCACGCGGCACGGCGAGTTTATGCGTCGGACGCGTCATATTTTTCACTCTTCTTCCTTTTTTCTCCCTCTCTCCTTTTTTCCTCTTTCTATACCGTGCACAAACCGTGCGCCGTTCGCAAAGTGTGTCACCGGCACGAACTTTGACTTACCTGCAATTTAAATGTCATGAAAAAGAAGAATAGCGTATGTAGAGTACTGTGTACGCCGCGAATTTAAGCGGCATCATACGCTTGAAAAATGATAGTGCATCCATCGCATCTGACTAATCGCCATCGATCCATAAGTAGATAAACTGATCAAAAATTATGAAAATTATGAATTATGAATATTTCTCAATTATGAATTATGGATATTTCCTGATTGGGTAAAAAAATTCACCGGTATTTTGATTAAAAATATCTGTTTGTTAATTTTTTATCAGGTAATTTCTCTCAACGTAGCCGACGTGCCTTCCGATGCGATGTCAACGCATAGTTACACGCCGGACGTTCAGCGTAATACATTATTACGCGTAGCACATTCGTTAACGGTAACTTCATTATTCGTTCTGGACTCGAACGATTAATCAAGCTATACATATAGCTGAGATCGCCACAGTTTCGCGTACTTTTACATGTTAACGTAATGATATACGATATAACGTTTCAGCAAGTCTCGCCTTACTCAATCTCTTCTTGTTCGCGTAAATTCGCCATTTCCTCAAACTTCTCGCAATTATCTCTTTCTTCCATTACTAACCGGAAGAATATCACTATAACTCATAACTTTTCTCCGTCGTATGCCCATTTCCTCCTCCGATTATACAGCGTAAGAAGATGCATACATCATATACGTATCTCGACAATTAAATGAATAAATCTTATAAAATTAATATACATATTTCTCTCGTTGCTATACTTAAATAGCAGCTATGATATATATATATATATATATATATATATATAAATTATATGGGGGTCAAAAAGAGAGAAAGTGCGCTTCGATATGACAGGCATAATTCTAAAATTAACGAAAGCTTTCATATACAGCTTTTTGTGCTGTTACGCGCGAATGAATCCTCAAAAACCGCAATCTAACCCTGTATATTTTACAATCGTTACGAAGAGAGATTTTGTTAAGCGGCTTATCATTTGAGATGGTCTTAAAACATGTTTTTGGTTCTGAATCTCTTGACGAGCATAAAATGATATTTCCAGCAATCCTTTCTCTCCGCCTTCTAATACAATTCATTTAAAGCAAAAAATTTCCTTTTTTAATAGGTTACCAAAAAGCCGGAAGCGAGATTTACGGGGTCCGATAATGGCTAAAATCGATTGAATATCTATATCCGATTGGGAAACTGCATATACGTAGAAAATTGTGAAAGAGAAATACAGGCAGTTTTATACAAATATCATTTTCACCAACGTCCACCGTGGTAAACACAAATGCATATATATAACAGAACGTAGCCACTGATCCCACGTGTTGTTATAATTCTTACGGACTTGCGTGAAACAAATGAAAATAATTATAAAGAATAACTGTTTGCATTAAAATTGGAGTAATCCTACATTCTAAACTACTTGCAAGTTGTTTCCTTTTGCACACGTTACATTTCGAAAGTGGGACAGTTGAATAAATTGATTCGTTGATACGATTCGTCAACTAAATATTTCTCGTTTACTTTCGTGAATTATATAACGTCAAAGAGAGAATATAATGTAAACCCTGCTTTCTATTACTTCCGTATTCGCGTTCGCGGTCTTTCCGTCGGTGTCGCGATGCACGAGCTAAAATACAGATGTGTATATACTGTCTGTAATATGTCGTGGGAACGATAGACCTCCGATTAATTTACCAGACGACGAAGTTGGCCTGTGATAGCCCTTGCTGATGCTTTCAGTCTTGGCGCTGTAACGGTCATAGTCGCCACGATAGAAGCATTAATAGGTCGCGTTATTTCACCCAATCTCGTTAACCAAACAGAGAACGATCTCCTTTTTCACACGTAATTATGAGAAAAGTCGAAATTATGCAGGCGGTACATATTTATTAAAACGAAAAGCACAGTGCACGCAAAAAGCGGAGAAATTCAAAGAGTGCAGGCAAATAAAAGCGCTTAATTGAACAACAAATTAAACGCAAATAATTATAATATACGCAATAATTATAATATACGCAATAATTAGCATATATGAAGAGAACGTGCCGTTTCCAACACAACGCACTTACAGTTAGCTATTGAGGCAGGGTCAATTTTTTGTCAACGGTATAACGCGACGATATTAAGAGAGACGGCAGTCATCATCCATGATCCGAGAGTTTATGTCGAGCCTCGACATTCTCGTGAAAGGAAAATTTACTCGTGAACGATCGAAGGGACCGCTTGGAGTTGAAAGGGAGTACGCTTGACCGCGAATATTCTCTGAATCTCTTCTATATATATATATATATATATATATATATATATATATATATATATATAGAGAGAGAGAGAGAGAGAGAGAGAGAGAGAGAGAGAGAGAGATGTGATCAATATATATATATATATTTAATACTAGACATCACGAGATTAGATATAACATGATAAAAGTAATAAATGCTTCGATGTACGAAGTATTTATTGCTCTTAAATTAAATCTCTACGATAAAACGCTGCTGCAGGATTGCTTACAGTAATACAATTGTACGTATGTTTGACGTTGCAAAACAATTGTACGATATTTCAATAGTACGCGCAATTTAAAACTTAATTAATTTGATTGAAAACTATAGTCGCGCGCGAGACTGATTTGAAAGAATGACTAAACTCATATTTCTAGGCAAATAGGGACTTCTGAGACACTTTGAGCACGGTAACAAGCTCTGTACCAAGTCCTGCTCTCTTATTAAACTCGGATACAATATGCTGGACAATAGACGATAAAGAGAGTTGATACTACGTCACGTAGTTTAACGTCGTCGGCCAACTCGACGGCCAACACAACGACTTTACAATGGAAATACACGATCGCACGCGTTTGTGTATTTCGTTGTTACGAACTCGCGTTTATGTACCATTATTTTTTCTTTCTCTATATTCCAACTTTATCTTAACACAACAGAGCCCATTAATAATCTAGCGATTATCTCGGATGTGGTTTAACAATAAAATATCTCGTAGTTATGTGTATATGTGCGCGACCCCTTTTATTTTTCTTCGCGATAAATAATGCAGACAAAAAAGTATCCCTCGGGACAAATTGACCCAACGCTGGCTACTTAAACGGCCAGTACTACTCAAGCAACGTACTCAGGCGCGGTTAGTACTCATTAGACGGACGACCTCTCGGAAATACAGTTCGCACATGAAACATCTCTCTCTTTTTTCTCCGGTAAATAATTAATTTTTCCAGAGGTACACCATTTCGAACAACGCGGTAAAATTTAATCCAGGCCGGGAATTAAGGTAACAGGATCAACACGGCGATGCGTGGCGTCAACCATTTGAGCATTACGAAACGATAGCGACGCTATCGCTACCGAATATAATTTTTCACTTTTACGTTAATCGACAAGCTTGCGATATGGAAGGTAAAACATAGCCGCGAACGTTTTACATTCGGGCTTCCTCACTCGAATCGCTCTCAACAGATCGATATGACGGCGCAGTTCCTTCGTATTTCCGTTCTCGATCTATGAGGCGGAATAATAGTTGTAAAGTTCATTTGTTCCGAACGGACGGTCGTTGCTCTCGCGATTTTCATTTGATCACGTTTTACGTGACACGGAAATATCGGCTGTCTCGTGTTATATGCGCGTGATGCGAGCACGATGGTACCTGACGATATCGACGAGCATGATTTCTCTAATAAAAATCAACTGCGAATTTTATAGTGAGGGATAACATTATATCGGCTTTCCGTCGATATCACGCGATGTTCTACAGATCGCGTAAAATAGACTCTAGACGTGAACGGTGAGCGTCGCGATGTGTGACGAGTATGACAAGCAAACACCCGAGACACGTAACAACGGAGAAATGTCATCTTCGTCGCGCACGTTCGTCGCACACGCATCTTTAATCGCTTGATCCTTTTTCACATGTCGCGGATTACCGTAATGGGCGAATGAGAGCTTGACCGGATAAGGAGGGAAAATATATGCAAACGCAGGCCTTCTCGAATACACATATATACACACGGCGATGTAGTACATATCACGAAACAAACATACAAATAGAATTTACACGTGCGAGCACGTACTCGTACAATCGAGACGCATGTAATCAACCGCGACGACAGTATAACACGCGGAATTCCTTTGCGTGATGCATTCGAGATGAATTTGGAAATGAGAAAAAAATCACGGGTATACTTTGTACCAGAGAATAATGTACAATCGATGATCTACATACGAGCAATCTCGGTTATTCGATTAACCGATTTCACAAGTTCAATAAATTTAATAAATTTGCATTTATATCATGTTTGGGGCGAGAACCCACAGGATATAATTATGAATATGCAACAGTCGATATTACGGTTTTCAAGTCGCTCAAGTTAGGATCGATATGCCGCTGGAACATACATACGTCATTGGTGACGTTTATAAAAACGCGCGTTGCGTTTGCTCATAGATGAAAAGATAAACGGCACATCGATCTCACGTCGTATCGTGTATGAGAGGAGGACGAGTTGGTGAAATAACATTTATTGTGTCGTAGAAACCTTTTTTTGCATTGCCTCCTACGTGCGTATTGAATTTCATCGGCACATATTTTATTGATTGCGCTTAAAACTGCAGGTCATATAAATAGCTCGTAAATTTCATCCTCAATTTCGGCGATAATATCAGCTGACGCAGAAAAGAGAGAGGAAAAGACCAATACAATAATAACCGTTAGCGCGCTAATGGTTTATCACGTGATCGATAGTGCAGATCATTGAGACTGTGGAAAATACATTTCAAACCGGTGTTTGTCACGTTTGTGCACTCACGCATTGCTTCAAAAGAGGAACGCTAAACCACTGGTAAATATAGAAATGAATTGAATGAAAATAGATTATATATAAATCTCGATATAGTAAGAAGACAATAAATGCTCCCGAAGGAGCAGACTGTATAAATGGAACTTTCATATTACAACCGCAAACTTCTAATGGTCTCCATTAGTAGTGGAGGGGAGAGAGGAACGGAAACGATAATAAAATCAATATGTGACTCAAAGGATACACCAGATGGCACAGAATACAACTTGGATAACTTTTAATCTTGCGGTCCAAGCCATTTGATATATTCCAACGATAGTTGTATGAAAGCATAAACAAAAAAATTCAACATTTTCTTGTATAAACAGGTAATAGAAAAAATAAATCAATTAAATTTGCCAAATGAGTAAAATACGAAGATCCCACATGAAGAACCGACTGTCCTGCTGCTTAAAAAGTCAAATTTCCCTCGTGATTTCGACTTTTCATCGAATACAATCTCGTGAAAATTTGAAACGTGAATAAATTTATGCATGTACATACTTTTGTTCGCTTTTATATGCGGAGCAGGAAGTCTATAATATCGCTAGCAGGATACAATTTCATCACGGTTCCATTCTATCGGAGACATTAATATGTACATATGTTATCTATAACCAAAATAATAATAAATAATATATACAATTCAATAGAAATTTCGGTCATGTGAAAGCTTCTTCTCGAAATAATTTTAACACAGGCCGCTTATTTGGCAAATTTCTTTTACATACGTAAAAGCATGTGTGTACGAAACCGAGTGACCATCAACACGGAAAGAATATAGTAGTTTCTTTTCATACCTTTCAATTCTTTTCTGTTTTATTATGTTTTTAGTAGGACAATATAATAGAATGTGTCAAGTAAGATCCGTCTTGTTAAAGAGCATAATATTTTTGCTGGAAATATAGCAAATTTTTCTAGAAATATAGCTAATATTTTAACAGCGCCTGTCAATTCCTAAAATATAAGCAGCATAAATGAAATAAATGAAAAGTTAATCAATTAACGATATAGAATGTCGAACTATTCCTCTCGCTTACAAAGTTTTATAGCAATTTTTGTTATAAAATTCTCTCCGTGTAACGTCGACATGAAATTTAAATTGCCAAAAAGCTTTCATCATGCGTATGATCCACTTCATAGCACGTCTAACTCGATTAGAACTTCGTACTAACAGCAGCGAGATGATTCCGCATGGTGTTACGATAACACGTGGGCGTTTTACTCTGTACATAGTACTTTTTTATCGCTCATGTAAGTACGAATAAAGAATTTAGAGGAGAAAAAAGTAACAGCATTTACGGAAGAACACTCGAATTATATTTAAATTAAAACAGAGAGAGGCATCGGTGCTAGTTGGCAGCCAATAGCCTCGTAACCACAAAAATTACGTACAGGGTATGTCTTGATAGCCATACCCCGCTATCTCCAACATTATGTCGTTGATAACGCGCTATTGAAGTAGCGTGCACCCTTTTTAATATATCAGTCCTATGCCGCCTCTTTATATAACTTATTAAACTAAAAAATAACTGCGAGAAGAATGTAACGTGTCTTGCCATCTGTTGCATGTTTGAGGAACTATTCTCGGCCAAATCAGATACCGTAAATTGCGATGACTCACTTCTCTTCAGCACTAGAGTCGACGATACCATCATCGATCTATTCTGTCGTGTATGAGGAATGTTCTTTTTTTTTTGCAACCGACACGGATAGATCAAATAGATAAAAAATGAAAATGTTTAATTTTTTATGAACACACAATGGCTCTCCGTAAATCTAAACGGCGAGACTTTAATCTAGGAGTTTGGAACTAATTTTTTCTCAACTTAATCAGACGTCAGTTTTTTGACAAACTTTCACGTTGAATCTTAGATATTTATCTCGATAGCTGTCTATTAATCTGTAAGCGAAGAAAAAACTAATTTTTATCTCAACGCTCATCGCATAATCCGATCCTGGGTGTAGTGCCAAGTCGAGAGTTTCAATTACTTTGTTATGTAATGACAAAATTATACGTTAAAGCACGTAATGCCTTGACGATGAGCCAATTAACAACAGGATTTAAATTCGACGCGCGATTCACTGGAAAAAGCTACACTATATCGGTGCAAACGAAGTTAGCAATACACTCGAATAAACATTAGCGAAACTCATGGAGAGGAACAATACCAGAAAAGTAGCGTAATTCGAGCAAAAGTGGTAATCAACTTAACTGTGCCTGAGTAAAAAGGACTTTTATTGCGAGGGCAGATTTATCAGCCTTGAGTGCTAACCGAAATAAAAACTCGCCATGAATCTATGTCCACGATAATGAATAATAATGGCGCTTTTCAAAATTAGGTCTATCGACCCTTTCGTGTTCGATCGACAATAATAATAACTCAAGAGGCGGTAAAAAACATGTCTTTCTTTTAAAATTAAATTTCTTTCTCTCACTCTTTCTTTATTTATTTCATCTAAAGTATTGATCATAGGGTGACTCAATGCATTCTTGCGCACATTGCGCGTCGTAATTTAGAATTTTCAATTTTTGCCAAAATCGTAGTGGTTGCGACGTTCGACATTTGGTAGAGGTAGAACAGAAAACGGAAGTCAATATTGCAAAATGTATCCAGCTTGACTTCCTCCGTATCTTGTCCGATTGTAAATTCCGAGGAGGCCAGAAGACGTTTAGGAATACCGAAGGGGTTTCCTAAAGTCGTGGGAAACGCGAAAGGTAATGTGTGTCACACGCTATTTTCACGCTCTGTCTCAAGCGGCAATTTTTGTTAGTTCTATCACGTGCGTCGCGAACAAACATGTGATATCTGTTTTTCGCCGAGTCGATATCAAATCGAGTATAACATGGGCACAGATTAAATCGTAAATTTCGTGTCGGATATACGCTCGAAATCGGCGGGAGTTCCATATTCCTTTGCGCTTTTGTCACCTCTGCTTTAAGGAACCGCTCTGTGACTTTCAGGAGACTCTCTTAATATTCCACGCGGCAGAAAGTTCTCGAGCAAAATTCCCAAAAACACAGAAAGCTTTTAATAATTGATGGAATCAATTAGCGCAATCTGTCTCCTTTCTGCATGCATAAATGTGTACGCAATATGGAAAATTCTGTGATGGTTGAATTTTGAAGAAACAGTCCGCCGTGTGGTTAATTAATTTGCTCGAGTAAGAACGACGTTGGTTTCATTGATTCAAGCAGTTTTATTTCTCACAGTGGGCGTCTAGAAAACCAAGGATCACCAGGATAAACCCAAGTAGGTCGCGCGAGAATCTATCGGTTTCGAACGGGAATAATCTCTGTCTCAAACACGAACAAAGGGCAATTTGCGAACCAAGCGCCTCTCTAATCTTCTAAGAAAATCGGCATCAGGTGTACCGAAGCTTAACGAGTTCGGCCAAATAGCCGTATGTCAGGTTTTGCATTGTCAAACATTTTTCTTTGTTTTCCACGAATGTGTAATATAAGAGGTTTTCTACTAATTAACACAAAATTTCAAATCGTTATGGAATATTTTCACAAGAACAAATTTGTGATAGACTTACCTGAAGATAAGGCACAGCCTTGCAGAGTTTCAGACCAAGGAACCAGGTCTCCGTGACGTCCCAGAGCACCGACGGCGGCAGGCAGATGAGCAGGACGAGCAGATCGGCCACTGCTAGGTTCACGATGAAATAGTTGGTTACAGTCCTCATCGAGTGATTCCGGTAGACAGCCATGCAGACGAGCGCGTTGCCAATCAGGCCGACCACGAAGACGACGCTGTGCATCGCAATCAACACCCAGTCGGGCAGCTTCGGGAAGATGTGTTCCACCATCAGCTCGAGATAATCCTCGTCCGAGATGCAATAGTCGTTCGTGCAGTTCGTGAGGTTGGCGTATTCGAAACGATCGGATGAATAATAGTCCGCATCGTCGACCGCATAGCTCAAACGAGGTGTCACAGATGCCAGCCAAACGGCGATCGTCGACACGGCGAGATTCATGTTGCGATCTTACGTCTGCATCCTCCGTGTGATATATACCGAGAACGCCAATATCGTGATCTCCTCCAGGAATCACGTGTTGGGCAAACGTTTCGTTTGCAATTTAGGCGCGTCGTTTCGTTGTATCGGCATAGTGATGGACATTCATTGATTTAAAGCAAGCATTCATTTATTCATTCATTTATCCATTCGTTCTTACGTTGAAAGTCCGAAAGTTGACGTAAAACATCCTTCCAAAGTCTTTTAAAACTGCTGCTTGATATACGCTCAACTTATGAAGAACACTATTCTTAACAAGAGAGTTCGTCCTTTTTCTCCTTACTCCATGGCTTGTCTCGGCGTGACCTCAACGTGGAGAATTTATCTGAACCAGATATTATGCATTCTTGCGCTTCTCAAAGCTTTATTGCAATCAATTTCGCACGTACAGAATAAAAAACACAGTCTGGAACGGATCGTGTGCCGGCTATACCGGATATATAATATATTGTCCTCGCGCTATGCACTTGAGCTCCGTGACTTCGATATAACATCAAGTTCGTGTCCTAATCGCACAAAGCTAACCACATGCCATAGATGCCTAAGCCACGATACCTATCTAACAGTCCAGAACCGCTCCTGCCAAACCTGCATACATACTTTAAGTATTTCAATACCGACGTAGAGTTCATGTCAGTCTTACAACTTTCAAAATACAGAAAAGAATTAAAACAAAATTAAAGGTGTAATATCTCGCAGTATGATTAAATCAACGCCTTTTATAAGTACACCTCCCAGATAACATGCATGTCTAAAAGATATCTAAAAGACATCTTATGCAACATTTTGTTTTAGATATCTTTTCGACATCTTTTAGACATGCATGTTATCTATTTGTTCACCTCCTTAAATTTTCACATTTGTCTTCTCAAAGATGCAAAATTTAATGAAATTGATTCTCTCAGTGCACTTGCAAGGTTGCGCTATACATAGATATCCAATTAAATCGATGTCGCTGACAAACAATTTGCACGGGAATAGCAGAGCAGTGTAATGAGTATTAGCGAATAAACTTAATCACCTATGTGAGAAGCGAAGGGGAAAGTAATGATAATAAACGAGAGCTAAGCAATCGCGTGGAGTTTACAGATAAATCAGTGGGTTCGTAGAGTATCTAGAGGGAAATGTCGTTAACAATATTGTTATATCAATTATAACAAAAAATTATAGCAAAATATCACCCTTGATCGCATGACGAGAAAATATCGATCAGGCAACTTTGTTTGCACGAAAGAATTGGTTGCGCGCGAATTATGATTTCATGAATTAAAATATCAAACTGATCCGCGTTTATCTTACTTTACATAAGTGCGACAACTTCTCGTTCACTCAAGTTTTAATCATTGGGCGAGAAAACGACGCAATTACTGTCTTTACCGAGAATTTTTTATCGTTACTTTCCATGTAACCGCGGTAAGCGCAAACCAATAAAGAAAAGTGCTAATGTCCTGTTAACCTCTATCGCGTTTTTTATTGCCGTGATATGACATCTACTCGCGGCACCTCCACGATCCGCTCGAGAACAATTGAACTCACATTTTCGCACCTTTTGTACGAATTAAGCAGTCTCTCCGTGTTTTACTTCATTATAACGTAAATCGTATACTAATAGGTTTCGATAAGCTCAGTGATTAAAATATTTTACCGGCCACGTACAACGTAAAATCAATTGCTTGGAAGAATAGCTTTTCACTCGACCCTGCTCTTTTAACGGCAAAATCTCATTTTCGTCGAATCACTTGCTATGATTCTCGCTGAAAGAGAAGAGAGACCCATGTTTTCTTGCAATTACAAATTTCCCGAAACTGATTTCGTCCGACCTAACCTTTAGTCAGTTTTTCCTACGAAAAAGTTTGTTCTATATCTCGAATTTTCTCCTTCCACGTAAAACGATCACTCGCACAAGATGAAGTGGCACGCTAGTTTTGGTATGCTGAGCGAGAAGCCGGACGAGAAGCCAAATTACGCATACTCATTTTCCTCAGATACGAATGCAAATACCGCGGACTTATTCGGCGTTGGGCTCTCGTAATGTCACCGCGCTGGGATTTATCGTCGTATATACCGCTCGCGCGCGCTCCCCGCTCACATTGCGATCCATATCGAAATTATTACTTGCTGGGCGGATTGCCAAAAACAACATTAAATCTAATCCGCTTGCGAGGAGCTACTATGGCGTTAGCTCTTTTCCTCGCGTTGTCGTCGAAAAGAATGAATGCGGAAATGCGCAATGAAATTTTAACGTTACTCGCGAAAGCGCGGTCACATTTAGCTGCTTCGCGATGAAAAGTTGCATGGTTATCCTGCCTCTCGAGGGCTCGTAACCGTAATGGTCTTTCTTCTGTGCAAATTTCCGCCATGCTATAAGATTACACTCTTATTACCCGCGCACGTATTTGTAATGAAATATTTAAGAGAATTCATAATTTTCTCAGTATTTCTTCTGACGCATCGACAACATCAGATCAGAGTAAAATTGAGAGATATGTCGGAAATAATCGAAAAATTCGTGCTGTAAGAAAATTTGTGCTCGCACAAAAGTAAGATATTCTCGGTCAATATGGATTTAAGAATCTACTAGAGGAAGCGAAAAATAACGGTGTTTACAGACACTATTGTCGAGAGAGACGGCACATAAATACTCACTTGCGAACGCTTTCCAGTTACTTGACTCTCAGAAATCGTATAATTTGTACATGATCTGTTTATTAGAAAATTATTGTGTTCGCCGATGACATCCGCGCGTCAATTTGTATCAAACGTTCAGGTGGATTGCCTAGCGCGAGAGTTCTAATTCGACTTCTGGGCGATTTGTTTACCGGCAGCACTTTCGGAGAGAAGAGCGTGTCGGAAATGCGACATTCGACGGATCATTGCGACTGTTTCTCGTTCGGAGATCGTTACGGTACTCCCTTGCACGAAAGCGCACCCCGACAGGATGAGGATAGCGTCGACTTCCGCGAAAGGACGCGAACGCGTCGGCAGACTCTGCGAAACTGAGGTGCGCTGTTTTAACGGAGCTGTGGGGGCATGGTGTGCCGGTCACGCCGCACGGTGTGAAATTTGTGGACGATCCACGGACGAACGAAAATATGTCACTTGATTGTTATACGATACTCTGCAAATTTTACATACTAATTTCTGTCTTTGTTTTAAGTTTTATGTGTTTTTTTAGTTATCTAATTAAGGAGATTCTTTATATGGGGAATTTTGTCAATATAAGCAGATTCACGTACCTAAATTAAGTGTAATCACGATCGTTGCGTTGCTAGCAATTTAATAGAATGCAATTTTCAACAAATCATGTGTGAGACTTTCTTTTTTTGTGGTATTTATCTTCCCACAATGTTTATTCGCGCGTTCATTCATCATCGTCCATTGAATCGCTACTCGCCTCGCTGCTATCTTATCTTTGACGATTTATCGCAAATTTGCCGCGTTTTCTACACGTCATTCCGCCTTTGTACACAAATCGCTTCGTTAATATTAATTATCTCGTAGGGCTTGAATGAGAAATAGAATGTCATCAGCGAGCAATATGAGAAAGATCACGTAACATCATGACAGGTTTCCAAATTCAAAAGTTGATTGATTACGTTCTATATATTACGCTTACCGCAGGATATAAACTTTTCCCTCACAGCACATTATTATTGCCATAAGGTTACAGCAATCTTAAATTATAAGATGGCAACATTACACGGAGGTTAATAAACCTGTCACTAACCTTCTAATAACATGAAAATGTTCGTTCATACTCATTCCACTAACATTACAGAAACCTTATACGGAACGTTATATTAAAAATTAATATAATATGCCTAGAAACTTTCAATATTTTTAATAAGAAATTCTTGATAAAGAAATATTATTTATATTCAGCTTAATCAATTTATATTGATTTTAAATGAAATTTAGCTCTTTTATTTAATTTCTTACTATTTTCACACCTGAAAATTTACTCAGTACTAGTCGGATGCAAACTCGAGACCTCAAATATCTTTAGGTTTCTAGTCTATTATCTTGGCTGCTGTGCTATTTTTTCAACTGATACTAAGCTGATACTTTTTTATCATCCCCATATGCAGCCGAAGCAATAATTATAATTTTTTATAATATTATTTAATACAACTATAAAAATAAACTATGTAGTCTAAATATTTCATGTAATAAAAGAAAAGTCAGAAATATATATCAAACTAAAGCATTTGAAGCGGCTATTGAATACAACCTAGAGTTAATTTTATTATTAATATTTTAATTTAATTATATTTGCTTTCTTAATAAAAAAATTTTTATATATAAAAAAGTTGTATATACAATTAAGTGATTATTAATAAACTATATTTCAATTGTATAGTATTTTCAAGATACACAGAAAGTGAAATAATTACACGTAAGTTTGCTGAAATATTAAAGATTATATTAACTTTATGACAATATTATAACGTAAGGTTATCTTGTAAGATTAATGGCAGATTGCAGTAACATGCGTAAAATGTGTAAACTTAATCATTAAAATGTGTAAACTTATAACCTACCCATAACTTTACTGCAATGTTCGGTGCTGTGAGGGTTATAATGTAACAAAAGACATAAGAAAAGAATCAAAGTATTTGTAGACGCGACAGTTTCAAGAGTAAACCTGAGACAACGCATAGTTTTCATTTATTTTATTTCAGTCATATCGCCCAAGTAAAAAGAAAAATATTGATTATCTGTGTCGATTTTAACAACAAACGGGCTGCTAAAAACTTTATGTATTACTGAAGAAAAGAATTAATGCCTATAACAAATCAACGAGAGATAAAGTCCTAGAGAGAGAAAAGAAAAAAAAATCCGTGCCTAGAACGGAATAATACGAGCCAGTGGAATACGCTTCCACACTCAGTGTTTTTATTACTTCTTTTTAATCTTTTGAAAGGCATCTCTCTTTTTTTTGAGACACAACTCCCTCAGTATACATTTAACAAACGGAAGTGATACTACCACAAAGAAAAACTCGCAATCTCTGTCAACGCTTTATGATCCTTTCAGTACGACTTTTATGACCTATTTCTTCTACCTACGGGAATATGTCCGTATATGGAAAAATGAACGAACAGACAAAGGCAAATATTTTTATATCATTTATGTATTTTCTATGTCAATTGTACTATTGTCAAATTATGAAATATTTTATCTCGAGGAAATCATTATCCAATACAGCGGAAAATCAAGAATGTGGACTGACTCTCGATAGAAGTGACCCAGCAAATAAATACGTATCAAAAAATATAAATTGCAAAATTAATCTGAAAAATTAATATTAAAAACACGTATACATTACTATATTTAGTAATAAAATATGAAATTGATCAAAATAAAGCGCGTTGTGTTCAAATATAAATACCACACTATAGTACTATGCAAAAAAATAAACTTTTTTCGTCACAGACGTATTATTAAATCGTTTTATATTCATCAGAAACGCGTTAACGGGAAAACATTGAAATATATGACAAAACTCTCGCAATGAAAGCGCATAAAAAGATTGATTCGGTATAGATCATCATCTACAGAGTGACTCAAAGCTAATAAATTACTACATCTTCTTTTAATTTATTCTTTTTCTTTTCATGAATAATTTTACAATAGATATTATTTGTTGCAAATATGTGTCTACGTTACGTACTTTTATGACTAATTTTCACTTAAAATTCACTTAGAATTGAGTGGAAAATATTTGTTCACAAAGACTCAGATTTTAAAAAGCTGTTTGCTCTCACAATCGTCTATTAATTACGAAAAAAATTAATTCTTTAACGTTTTTGTTAAAGAAAAATTGATTCTCAAGGAATTGATTAGGAAATTGTAAGTAAACGATGATTCGATAGATGTGAAACAACCTGTATATCTAATTAGTGTCCTAATTCTGGGGAATATCGATTTATCGATAAAAATATGTATTCCATCCGACGCATGAAGAGCGTTCTTTCGCCACAATTTTAACTTGAAGTTAATTGCATCAAGTTAAAAGCATCAAGTATCCATTATTTTTTGCAAGGCAAGCTATCCTCGATCGCATAAGTGTTTTATGCATAGGACTTGGCAGAATTATACTGCAAAATATATTATAAAATTGTCATAAAGGTACAATATAAATCAATACACATTTTCGATAAAACAATTATATATATTTTTTGCAACATTTTTACGCGTATTTATTACTTCACCATTGAATATCACAGATATTTAGGATTTACAACAAATATCGAAATGTATGTGGTATGTACACACACATGTGTGACTATATATAAATATATCTTGTTGCATTCAAAATTGGAGAAAGTATAATATAATATTAAGTGTTTATCAGATTCCAACTAGTTTTATTTACAAATTTACTTTTAACAGCTTCAGTTTGAATAAATTTCTTAATTATTTAACATAATGAGATATTCGTATTATTTCATCATTAACCAGCATATTTTCCAAGACTTCCCCGCATCTGACTATAATTTCTAATATAGATACAATTTGGTTATATATTATAACGATTATTTCAAATGAAATAATATAAGAATATAATAATTTGTTAAGATATAAAATAGCAAAAGTCGTAGCACAAATATAATCAGGATTTTGAGCATATGATAATTTTCAATAAAACCGCGCTTATTGCACGTAAATTATTAAACAAATTCAATAAATTGAGCACACATTTTGAAATTATATAATTGTAAATTTCAATATTCTGCGCGGTGTGCAAGCAACTAACAATGTAATTTTCTGAATGATAACTTTCTTACTGCTCATACGCAACAGGCGGAAAAGTCGCTAATTGAAATTCTCTCATGCATGTTACATTTAAATTGCGAATTTGAACGCCTATAAAATTACTTTTTTCTATATAATAACACGAGTCTCTTTTGTAGATATATAGTAGCGATAAATTCTAGCTTTGTTCAGCATAATCGTTTGTTTGATTGTATTTTATTACAGTTTATGTATATAATAGCTATATACCTAACAAAGTATTATACTCTCTATTTATACTATATTTATATATTCTATTTTAATTAAGATACGATTTGAATCCGGATCATATCGTTATTTAAATATTCGGATGTTTTCGGATGATACTTCGAAGTACCCGGAATATCAATAGACAATGACATCACTGTTCGAATATTTGCAACCCTAATTTTAATTTGCACCTATATGTACAGAGAAAGAGGGTATCCTATTTTAATTATTATATTTTAATATCTCTTGTATACCTCGTCATAGACAACAATTTTTCAGACAAAAGTTTAGAGAGGGACACATAATAAAAATATGGACTTAATCTTGAATGACCTTTTGAGATATTAAAATATATTATTTAAAATAGGACACACTGTACACACTGTACACACACCACACACACCACACACACACACACACACACATATCATCAAAAAAAGATTGTTTTCTCGCATATTCGTTAATTTTTAGTTCAGAAATAAATTTTTCTCTTTTTAGTTTAATACTATCTTATGACTATCTTATGGACTATTTCAATTACATGTATTATCGTTTACTTATTCGATATGTGACTATATTAATAGGCACTTGTACACGTTCACGTACTGTATGCTCTTACAATACATTAACTGTGTCCCGTTAAATATTTATAAGACATTCATACAGTCTTATTTTTGCTATGATACTAATTAAAAAAAGGGAAGCCTCAATTATAAAAAGAAATTAATTGAAATTATAAAAGAAAGTACAAATATTCTATCTATGGCACTTAAAAAAATAAAGTTACCACGTATCGATTCTACCTGTAGCATCATCTTCCTGTTTAGATAACAGAACCTGCCTTTCCTCATGTCGCCATTTCTCTCGGATATAAATAAAAATTCCAATGAAAAATATCAAAATTCCGATACCTGCTATCCCAAAACACGTTACAACGCCCAATGATGGAAGAATCAGAACCACCTTAACCATGCTCGCGTAACTGGCAGTTAAATTAGCTTCTTGAGTGAACCACAGCATTGGAATATAAGTTCTTGTTAGATTTTGGAACATACTGAAAAATTAGAAATAAATTAGACAAAGTGTCCTCGGAATATTATTTTAGACTGTTTACAAAAGAGCATACATATAAGAATAAAATTCTCTATGTCATAATCTGTCTGCACTATATCTAGCTTATTTACCTCACATACTCCACTGGTTCTAACAGCAAGTTTAATTGTAGTTGCGCCTTAACTTGCAGCGGGATACCTGTAGTCTATAAAAGATATTTTCTGTGTATAAAGTATCAAATAATAGTTTGTTAACTGTCACTGTGTAAGAGATTCCAGATATCTGTGATATTCATAGTAAGCTTACCGGTTCAATAAGCATCGAGAGCTCGTGTTTTTCTTGACTAGGATGCATTCCTGACACAGCATTTCTGTAACTTGGATCTGCTAGATAAAAGTGTGGCATACTAACGAATGCCGGTGCTCCAAATTTACAGGACGAAATATTTAAAGTCCCGCTAGGTCCGCAATCTCCATCAGGACAATAACACCGTCTTGATGCTACTTTGTCACCATTATCTAACATCTTATCGTTTCCGATATATTTTCTTCCAGTTAGACCTTGAAATGTCGTTAGATTTTCGAACTCCAAGTTCAAAGATCTAAACAATACGCATACTTGGTTACTTATTAGTTTCTTTCCCATTGTAACATTTATAAATATATAAGTAACGCGCTCTATTACTCACGTGCAAATGTCATTGATAAATATAGACACGGTACTATTATTCGACAAAGGTGGCCACAAATCACCATTAGTTCCTCTTATTGTGCCACACGAATCTTTGAAATAGCTCGTCTTATGATTGTAATTCCATTCCTGGACCTGTCCTAGATCATATAAATTAGATGACCCGGTAAACATATTAAATGTGCCATCATAACTGTCCGAGTTGTTCCTCTGTAAAAACATCAACAACAATGGTAATTTATACTCAAGATTATATTAAATTAACAAAACATTTATTGTACTTACCGCATAAAACCATGCAAACTTAGTATAAGGTAAAGTGGTCGCGTTTAATTTTTTTGCAACACGCAGCAATGTATCGTTGTATCCGTCGAATAACAGTTCACCTACGCTTTTAGTTATTACTAATGGCTCTCCTAGAGCTATTATTATTTTATCAGTTATCTCGCGCATAAACTTTGTCTTATTTCTCACGGAAAACGCGACAGTCTAAAATTTAATATTGCAATACAACATATAATAAGTTACATACTTTATCACATAATTATATATGTATATATAACTATATCTTACTGCAGCGATTGGATTCAAGTTGGTTATCTTGTCAGATAGACTGCCATTAGACAATGATTCATCGAAATACCACTCTTTCCTCCTTTGAAATGTGACAGTCCCATTATCATTCCACACCTTGTTTACTTTATAATCGATTTCCCTGCACAAATAAATACATACAATTACTTTCTATTTGTAACATTATTTTATGATTTATTGCCTATTACACAATAAAATAACATTACCGGAAAACATAAGGTCCCATCTCCACAAAATTTGGCTTTGCATTTGAAGCAATAAATTCTCTTGGGTTAGTCCAATTGAACATGTAAAATTTAAAGTACATTGGAATAGGTGTTTCTTTCCACATGTTGTAACTTATAGATGATGGTGTTAATATTAAGACCTGCATAAAAATATATACATTGTATACACAATTTTTGTAGCTTGTGAATAAACTTTATATATACTTGATCTTTTATACTTTTCTAACTAACTTACTTTTGCAACAGTCCAATTATATATAGAAGGCCAAAATGATCCTGTGAGTACACCAAAAATTGTTATAATTACACCAACAATTAAAATAATCACAATTTTTGTACCAGAACTTGCCATCTTTTCTGGGACTTTATATCTGTAAACGATAAACATATAGTATAACTAGTATTCGCTTTCTTACTTCTATGAAGATATTAAATAATGATATATTTAAAAGTAATTGTTCCAATATTAGAGTCATATGCAAAATAAAGATGTTATTTGAAACTAAATAAAGACCTTGTATGGAAAAAATTTTTATAAGGACAAATGTATACACATATTTCCTTCCTGTAAACAAAATTATGCTACTAGGAGGAAGAATAATGGTTATGTATAGAATCATTCATGGAACAGTGAAATTGCATGCAAAAATATGATGTGACAAATGACAACATAAGTAATGGTCAAAGCAAATATGCATCTTGTCCACTACAATACTATATAATTTCAGCACACCATGTATACATACGTAGCAATGTAAACAACGCAATTTGTAACGAATATTTGTAAATAATACTAGTGTATTTCTTTGCGACATTCGTGATTCGATTAGAGTGCATTCAATCATAATATTTGAAATGATATTATGTGAAATTGGATAGACGCACACTAACCTGTCTTACCATAATTATTCCTCTACGATGACGGTCAACACAAATGGAAAGTTGTTCGCATTAAAAAATAAATATAATGTAATTTAGAGTGTACATTGATTGCGAAAGGTTGTAACTTCTTTATGCATATATACAGAAATTTCATAATGCACCCGCATCAAGTGTTGGAAGACGTGTGGTTTCTAATTGCACTGCACAGTACACCTTGTACACTCGAGTTGACGTAAATAATCGAGAAATGGACGAAAAAAAAATGAGACGAAACACGAAGATACACAACGAAGAAAACACAAAGTTACAGAAAAAATGCAATTAAAATGAATAGATCTTATATAAAAGGACAAAAAGAATGTAAAACAAAAAACGATTGCAAAGATAAGAGAAAGGGACTCAAGAAAAATGTTTATACATGATGATATAAATTATTTGACCTATACGTAACAAACCATAGAAATATAAAATATAACAACATTCAAAGATCTTTATTTAAAATATAACAACATTCAAAATCTTTATTTAAATTCTTCTAACTGGTACCTGTCATAGGTCAGACTTCTGTATTCTGATAAAATAACTAGTCGGGAAAGAGAACCTTGGTAAAAAAAAAAGTTTATAGCAAACGATAGAATAAAATTCCATCGTTCTATCGTTTTATATCGTTTTGAATATGGATTTTGGTTCGTGAATTCACAAATGTGAATAGTATTCTATCGTATACAATAGAATACAATAGATAGTGATAGAATTTCTATCGTCAGTTTCCTATATAATACAAATAGAACCCGATCCTTATAGAACTAGAACATTACAGTCACGCGCTACGCGTGCGTTATTTAGCATCTTTATCACTACAATGACCTTTTAAATTACTTTATTCTTACCATTATTTTCGCCTAAATAATATGCTTCTCTCTTTGTTTGCCCTTTCTTTTTCCTCTTTTTCCTCTACCCTTCTATTCTCTATTCTTCTATTCTTATAATTTATATATTTCCTGTATTCTTTTCTTCATGAGCTAACCAACGCGATGACAGTTATTTGCCTGATAATTTGACAGGCACAAACGACATGAAGCAAGCCGTAGCCCACATGAAGTGAGCTAAGCGACAATTAAATCTCTTACATGTGTTTTTTTAGAGTGTACCAAATAAAATACGATAGGATTTATATCTAATGCTCGCGAACGATAGAGCTTATAGAAAATACAAATTGATAGAAATTCTATCGTTCTCTATCAATTTTTTTTTATCAAAGAAATATTTCATCGAGATCTATATAGAAGTAGCGCTTAATAAAAATATACATTAGATTATGTTACTTCACACTGTGCAGAATTTTTATATGAAATATTAATTGTTGAATGACATGAGCGACACTCCAATGACTTGCACACCATTGTTATCTTTCACATGAACAGCGATTTAACTAAGGCCACTCAATTCGCACCAGCGTAAACATTTCTAATGATTCCATGAAAAACAAAAATTAATTCTTTTTTTACAACTATCCTAAGATATGCCGTATTGATATATATGCAAAAATTCTTACCGCGTTAGAGTTTGCGAAGTGGTAGTATACTCGCGCCTGTTTTGGATGTTTTTTTGTGCTGACGATTCCATAGTCATTTTAAAATCTTTCAGAGATACATTTATAAGGAAAGTAACACGAGAGATTGCTTCTCCCTTAAAGGATTACTCGCATTCACGCACCATCACACGCGATCACGAAACTTCGTTTATTTTTGCATTAATGATAAATCTTCAAAGCGACTTCCTCTAACGATTTCTAAGCACTGTCACGTCGTCTGAAATAACGACTGCTTAGCTCATTATTAATATTTCTACATAAATATATATGTACCTGTCGGATAACAGTAATCGCAATTGTTCAACACAAAATCTACCTGCTGATGTGAAGCTTCAATAACAACAATGTCGGTGTATTAGATTTCAAGTAGTAATCTGATAAAACGATATTGTGCCTTATTCGACATGCTGCCTTATTCATGTCAAGCGATAAGATCGTTCTTCCTCCAAAACATAATGTAAACACTTAGATTTTTCACGAATCAATGCTTCTTTTCTTAAATTATTTTGACTAATCAATCTCGATATTATCGCGTTCGTTCAATTTTGCTTCAATAATTATAATATATGATTTCTGATGTAAACATCAAAATGACTATACAAGGGACATAAATCAGTGACTAATACATATATTGTTATATGCCATTCACTGTACAAAGTCCAAACTTATTCACAGACGTACGTGATGAGTAATAGAATCATTCAAAATATAAATAAAAACTGGTATGCAACGAAAGGAGATGAATCAGCGCACATAATGAGATTACTTTTATATATAGTCGACAAGATTATACTTTTATATATAGTCGATGACTAAAAGAAAAATTAGGTGCTTTTATTAAAAAAAATAAATAAAATAAAATACAAAATAAAGAATGTACTGTATTTCTTTTTTTAAACACCTCTTTACAAAAAGAGTCATTATCAATACATGATACAAGCTTCTGCAATCTAGTAGCTTAAAAGATTATCTCTAAAGATAATACAGACATAGAAAACATACAGACGTTGACTTATCTTGTATTTCCTTACAATGTATTTGCAATCGAGATGTCGACTTTTGAACGCTACAATTAAAAATATCAGTTTTCACTGATGATATGAACGTCACCAATATCTTATCGTGCTTTAGGTATTTCAAATCTGATATAAAATTTGAAATACAAAATATATTTTATTTCTAGATAATCAAGTATAAAAAACCCAGTAAACACTAACAGAAACATCAATTTTATAATTTTTTAATGTAATTGTTATATAACACGCGTGTTATATTGTACTTACATTGTTCAGTGAAAAATTACAAGATTGATGTTACATTACAAATAGTTAGTATTTACTGCCCAGATAACATAGAGAATTAAAAAAAAATTCGAAAAGAATTCGGTCGTATGTCACCAATTCTGAGTTCATTTTCAGATGCAAAAAGAATTCTTCAGAGTACAGTTCAGTGAAAAGATTTTTTAGATTTTTTAAATTTTAGATTTTTCCATTATTTTTTCTTAAAATGAACTCAGAACTGGTGACATACGACTAAATTCTTTTTTAATTCTCTGTGCTATCTGGGGTATATCTTTTTATCGTAATATAATTTTGAATTTCGTTTATATATTTCCGGGTTACGAAAAATACATAAATTCAAGTGCATTCAAAAGAATTTATTTACATGACAATATCCGTTTCCGATACCAAAGATGTCACTTTTATAGTATATAATTATGATAAAGTATGAATAGAGAAAGCAATCGATTACAGTACGATTAAAGTTTTAATTTTTTTCCGTTGCAGTGTTATTATACCAAGTATAAGACAGTCGAAGAAAGTGTTAAAGCGAGGAAGTGAAAGTAACAGAGAGAAAATATCTTTCCGCTAGCTATACAACGTGGCATGGCGATTCGAGTAAATCTAGAAGAAAGTTATCGCATCCTGCTGCACGAGAAGATAGTAAAATAAACGTCCCAGTCTACGTTCCAAACAAAAAACTGAATTTGTAATTGCAGAATTTTCGATGTAATCAAACTGATTTGTTTATGCTTATTAGTTTTGGTGAATACTATAAACTACGAAATCTTTGAAATCCTTTTTTTCACGATTCTGTATTCTATCGCATTGAAAAATATTTTTTTAAATAAATAGACGATCGTTAATATTAATATATTGATTGCTCAATATCATCACACCAAGCCGAATATAATACACTAAAAAGCCGATAAAATAAAAACTTGATAAAAACTCACGCTAGATTTTTAAAGGCAAACGTCCTGTTCTCTGGTTTGCTTCTTATTATCTTATATACCTGTTTCTGTCCTGATGAAATTGATCTTCGTCAAAATGTACTTCCCATGTTTCTATCGCGCAAGTATGATCGCAAGTATCGGTAAGATCGCGCGCGTATACGCGAGACGTTCAACTCGAAGCGCGACGGACGCACGAATGCGCATAATTTCTTGTGATGCCTGCACTGTACGTCAGACACATACTCAAACGTCGTTCTACACACACCGACAATACCGAATAACACTTTCAAGGTCTCGAGTCTACGATATAGGAAAGTCTATTTTTTCGGTCTTCGCATTCTTTTACAAAATTTCCTTTTCCTCCAAAATCTTACAGTATATTTCTTTATATTATATGGAAAAAATGGAATTTATTGTGGTACAATTAAACATATACCGCGTGTTTTCTAAAACTTAAAAATGTTTTGTAGTTATTCATTACTTCACTGGGTTTTCCACTGGTTAAAAATTAAGATAATCTGTGAAAAATAAGTTTCAAAACTTTACCATAGCCAAGATATTTTTAGATAAATAAACCAAGATCGATCTAACTATTTACAATAAAAACACGATTTATTTAATATAGGAAACCTATAACTAAAACAGTTATTTTGTGAAAATGTCAATTGTCAACTATGAGCTATAATATAATAATATAAACTTATATAAAGTGCTAACAAAAAATTCATATACTTTACATTGCAACCAACATAGTGTTGTGTGTCTACATATATGTGTTTTCAGTTCTATATAATTATATTATTAAAATTGGACCCGTGGTAATAATACACGTTTGATTCTTAATATATCATATCAGGATGTGATGCTCAAAGAAAGAAAAAGAATCTTATATTGAAATTTGAATGTAACTGTGTTCTTAATGAGACTTTTTGCTATCATCATCTGCACAAAATGTAAACATTAAAATATCTAGAATTTCATAAAAATCTTATAAACTTGGACTTCACAATATATCACATACTGGATAGATCAAAACATAATATAATCAAATAACAAAGATGTTCTACTAATATATGACTCAGATTATTACTGAAGCACTTGTGCTGTTCATGTCCTCTCGTAACTGAGTTCGATCTCGTACTCTTGCACACATTAAACTATATTCTAATACACCAATCCGAATATTCATCTCAGAGATTTCATTCTTCATCTTTGTAATTGTCTTTTTTATATTAATAAGCGGCGCTACAAAAATATATAAAACAGTTTGGTTTACATAACAGTTGGTTTAATAAAGTCAAAAAAAGACAAAATAATACATAACCATTCACTTACTTCCATCAGTCATGCTTGATCCTCTTTCATCCATCTCCCTTTTCACAAGTTCCAATTCCTCCATTAATTTAGATAAAACTCTTGTTCTTTCAGTAACACCACCACTAACATCCCTATATTGTTCTTTAACTTTTGACAATTCCTCCTAAAATAATTATTTACATATATTTATTATCACATGAATTTATACATAAGAAGACTACAAAATAAACTGCAAAATTTTGTAGGTGCTTTTTATGTCTGAAAGTGGAGAATAAATTTTTCCACAGTAAAAATTTATTTGGTAGAAGTAATAAGAACTAACCTGCAATGTACGATATTCTGTCAAAGAAGGCTCGAGTTGCCTATTTAGATAAGTCTCTCTTGTCTTGATTTTGTCTAAAGTATTTCCAATATCGGAATATATTTTATTTAAATGAGCTTTTGTGCCACTTAGATTGGTTGCAATATTCACACGCAGTTGTTTCATTTGTTCAAGATGTGCTCTCCAATCTCTTGAATCTGTAATAAATCAGAATATTTTAGTTTTTTAAATAATATCTCATTTAAATGATCAATTTTTACTATGTTTAATACCTGTCTTAACTGTTACTTTCAACCGAGGTAAAACTTTTTCTAATTCTAATTGCCATTCATCTCTATTAGTTTTAGATTCTAAAATGCTATCTGGTTTCTGCATTTCATTCTGAAAAATAGAAACAATTATATAAGATCATTGATGACCACAATCTTAACATGGCACAATTTGCTTATAAATTTTCTTATTTAGAAAAATAAAATTGTACTCACAATGTTTTGACTGTAAAATTTTGTAATGTCATCTACATGTAAAATATCTTGATCTTCATCATCATACTCGGCCATCATTTCTTCTTCAACTTTTTCTAAAATTAATTCTGCATCATCATCCTCAATATCTGGTTCTGGTGTAGGTTCATCAGGTAGGATATTAACTTTGTTCCATTTAAAGTTTCCTATCTTCAATGCATTATCAGCCAAATTATCCAAGACATAAACTGCATGTTCCCCAGTACCCTGTTTGAGTTTATTGGGTGGAAATTCTACAGATATATCAATATCTCTAAGGTAATCCAAGATTAAAGCTATTGTTGAATTGGGATCATCTGATTCTTGAGGCATCTCAAAATTTTTCCCAGCTTTTCTAATCAACCATGCAGCCAGACAAGTAAATGTATAAAATTGTTCTCCAGGATTGGTTGGGACAACAAAATAGTGCCTGTAACCAATATGTTTACACAAACAGTAGAAAAATAATAAATATTGCATATTTAATATTAATGATTATGACCATAACATTCAATAATATTATTACAAATTTCTAGATGAAATTAGATTAATAAAAGATGTACATATTTTTTCTAACAATTCTACTCATATTATCTTACCTGTTTATTGGTTTCATTTTTAGATCTTGTACAAACTCTGAGTCATAATTTAATAGCTTTAATTTCTCTAACAAATCTTCCATCCTGATACTTATGACATACGGTGCCGATGGAGCAAGTCCATCCTCTACAATAATTTTTTGTGTATCTCTAAACATTGTATCTTTGTGTTTTTAATGTATTTTGTATCAAGTCTGTAAAAAGATTACTGTTGAACTTGAAAGGAATATATATTTGAATCAATAAACTTCGTAAACAGGCACGTACTTATTTGTAATAATTGCAAAGCAATTGTGTTTTATATATATTTCTAAATTCTGATGTGTGTGTGTGTGCTATAAAATGTTCATGTGTATCATTTACATTATATTAAGATAAATTCAAAAACATGTAGATAAAAATATTAATATTGTCATGCAATCCGTCGCTCCTTCAGGTTTCATAATTCGGATTTGTATGTCAAGAGTTTTTACGTAACGTCACAATTATGGATTTTAAACTGTTATAAAAAAGTAGCCTTTACATTTGACATTTTAGTTCTCATAAACTAAGAGTCTGTTTTCTATTACTGCACTGCTGAACTGGTGCAATAAGTTAGAGTGAGAAAATGTTTGTCTCACTTTAACTTATTGCACCAGTTCAGTAGTGCAGCAACAGAAAACAGACCTTAAGTTTCTTATTTGCTCTGTTCTTTTTAGCTGCCCTGCTGAACTGGTGCAATAAGTTAAAGTGAGAAAAAGTATATTTATCTCATTTTAACTTATTGCACTAGTTCAGCAGTACAGTTAAAAAGAACAAACTTCTTTCAGTATTTGGTTTCAGGGCCTTGATTCTCGAAAATATATCGCATACGACATTTAATGAAAAGCTATAGTTTATGTTACGTATACTTAAGCTTTTCACTAAATATCGTATGCGATATATTTTCGAGAATCAGGGCCAGACATGGACGTAATGCAGGATTCACACGGCGTCCAATATCCGATGTACGACGTCCAATATCCAATAAGAAAACAGCTTTCTAATAGAGAATTCAATTCTCCGTTGGAAAGCTGTTCTCCTATTGGATATCGGACGTCGTACGTCGGACATCGGACGCGGTGTGAATCCTCCATACATGGACGGAGCGAAAAGCAGTGTTGCTGCGGTTTTAAATATTTATTTACCAGATTTCTGCTTCAAAAACCACCAGATTACAATTTTTTCATTAGATTTTTTAAAATATATATAGATTCGAATAAAAAAAATAAAATTAATATAATAATTTTATATAAATTAATATAAAATTCTGTTTATAGATTCCGTCGTCGGATTATTTCTTCTACGTAATGTCAACTAGGTATACCGATTTTACAGGTTATAGATACAAATTTAAATTTTTTCGGTTAGCTGCCCTGCACTGCTTGCTCTACCTCCAGACCTAGGGCAGTCAGTTTACTGAACTCGCTGCACTAGTTCAGCCTGCACTGTTCGAAAGAACACATTTTCTTGCACTGTTCAGATCGAAAGAACGCATTAGTGCAAACTTCGTGAACTAGTGCAGCCAGTTCAGGTCGAAAGAACAAACCTCTTATATTACATGAGGCATATTTTGAGCGGAAAAGCAGTATGGGGAATTATAAAATATTAATTTTTAACGGCATTTATTAATTAAAATGCTTGTATTCAACAGATAAGCTGAAAAGATAAACATATTAGTAAAAATTGCAGTAAATTAAGTTAATACAATTTTAAAAAATGAATACAGATGTTTATTTGTCACTAAACCGTCCCGCTTTTCCGCGCAAATTGTGCTCCATGTAATATAAGGAGAAATAAAGTCGCGAAACAAGCGCGGAAAAATCCATTGTCACAAGTTGTCACAAGTTATCATAAGTTGTTCAACCTAACCGCCGTTACATTAAGACGTGTTCAAACACGTTCGGACCTGATATTTTTTTGGAATTTTTACCTTGGTACCTTGAATGAAAAGACAATAGAGAAAAGCTTTGGCTTCCGCTTTTTCGCTTTTTCAACGTATGGGAAGAAATAATTCAATTCACGGAATCCGGAAATCTAGTAAGATTTTGTCTTCCGCGTTTCCGCGCTTCATGTAATGGCACCCTAAAGCCTAAGGCTGAGTTCCCATTGACGTGAAGCAGTTGTATTTGCAACGTAAAGTGGATAATATCTTTTTTATTATTTAGATTTTATTATTTATTATTAAAAAATACCAAAATATAAGCATAGTTGAAAAATAATCGTAACCCTACCCAACATACATACACAATTGCTACGTTCAGCAAAGAAAGCTGCTTTGCAACTGGTGTAAAATTCGTGAATCTGATTGGTACATGCTTTTGGATTCAACCAAAATTAAGGACATACTCCAATCAGATCCACGAATTTTACAACAGTTGCAAAGCAGCTTTCTCTGGCTGCGTTTCGAAATTCACTGTCAGTACTGAAAATCTATAGTTCATGTTACATATACTATAGAATTTCAGTGCTGGCAGTGAATTTCGGAACGCAGCCTCTGTTGAACGCAGCCATTAGTACACTTTGTTCCAATTGAATCGTGCACAACGTTAGGGCTATCGCACACAAATTGACATAACTGCATATGCATAGCATAAGATTGTATGGACCAATGAGCATCGAATATTAAGCATCGAACACCAATATGGCGACTTAATACTCGATGCTCATTGGTACATACGGTCTTATGCTATGCATATGCAGTTATGTCAATTTGTGTGCGATAGCCCTTACACTTTGTACATTTCTGTGTACAATGTGTCAAGGCTGCGTTCAGATTCCCCACCCGGGTGTATTCTATTACCAGAAATGCTACAGTATATGTGACATATACTATAGTGTTTCTAGTAATAGAGTGCACCCGGATGAAGAATCTGAACGCACCCCAGAACATCTAAGGGTACGTTCAGATTCCCTACCCGGGTGCACTCTAATACTAGAAGTGCTATAGTATATGTAACATATACTATAGTGTTTCTAGTAATAGAGTGCACCCGGGTAGGGAATCTGAATGCACCCTAAACTGTTGCAATGTATCATTAAACCGTTTACAAAGCGCTGAGTTCTGCTGAACGCAGCCATTGTAAATTGGGCGTAAATAGAGCTCAGTAGCAGATTGTAAATGCAAATGGCTGTCGCGATCATGGAGGCTTTCGTTCCCGCGTGTCCGAGTCGAGTGATCTTAAAATTGTCGAATACGATTGGTATGTAATGATCGATTTCGGTATACAAATATAAAAAAATATTGTTTTACGCGTTTATCGTTAAGATCAATGTAAAGTGGTGCGGTTTACGTGGGAAATATTATTCGTGGCGAGAAATATACGACCTCGGCGAAGTTCATCCGGTAACCGCGTTAAGCCGAGCAAACTCGTAGAATTTGTGATGAATCGATAGTTAGTTGATTCTGCAAACGGAAATACGAGGAAAATTCACTGTCGCCACACAAATGATTGCCACATTATTCTCGACAATCGTCACTCGAGAACTTCTATATATTGACGAACAGGTAAACAACGATTTATATTTGACGCTTTATTTGCCGCATGCTGGCTTCCGAAACATACTCCTATTCAAAAGGTCGTCACATGTCGATTCTAGATTGAAATAGTCCATAGCGCCATAAATATTTGTTGTTGCTTATTACACATCTATGCAAAGAATATGATTATTAGAATATATCCACCTTATATATCAGTCCTTATGTTTGATCCTTTTTGCTGTAAAATTCTATTTGAAGCCCTTTATGTTTTATTTTATACATGAACTTAATGTTTCAAATATATTATATGATATTTCCTCATAATCTGCCCCATAAATATAATCAATATTAACATAGCAGAAGAAAAGTACATGTTCAATATTACATGTTGTGCTTGATATTATCTTTTTATAGGCACATCTGTATAGTTAATAAGCACTAGGGAAAATTTTGATAATACCAAGATGCCTGCAGTCAGTGTTTGCGATCCTATTACGGCTAGGCTTCATCGTACTCTGGATAATAGTCCATCTAAGGCAACAGATGATTTATCAAATGATTTAGTCAATAGTGCTTCCCGTATTCTGCAAACAGAAGTTCAGTATAAGGAAGTAAATGATTATAAAACATCAATTTTGGATCAACTAAAAGCTAAGTGCATAGTACTTGGTTTATCTTCCTCCGAAAATATAGAAGAAAATAAAGTAAAAGATAATACAAATTACAAGAAGAAAAATGATGTGAATAAAGGGCCTGTTTTACCAGAACCAGTTGTTACGTTATATTCTCAAAAAAAAGTACATCTGGGATGGAAAGGCACATTTCCAGTTGGAGCAGGCATGTATAATGTCGGGAATACATGTTATTTGAACAGTACTCTTCAGGCATTGTTTCATGTCCCAGCTCTTGTTAACTGGTTATTATCTGATCCACATCATAATTCCAAATATGAACAAAATGGTAAGTGTTTTTTTTAATATTTTCCCTGTTGTTTATATATATTTTTTTTAAATATTATGTAAAGTTATAATTGTGCATAGTATGGTGTTTTAATAATAGGCTAGTTTTAGATGGCAGTACAGAATGCCTTACGTGTGCAGTGGCTAAAACTCTACAGTTTAGTCATCTGAAATCTGGAAGTGCGATCAAGCCATTTTATATATATAATAAGTTAAAGCGTATGTAAAACAATCTTTTATTATTTTCTCTTACAAGTGTGTATATTGCGCGGGCGAAAATATTATCTAACGATACTTTCAGTCATTTGCCGAACTATGGTGCCTGGACAGCAAGAAGATGCTCACGAATTTTTACGTTATTTATTGGAAGGAATGGAACGTGCATATTTGACTAGGCATAAAGCGACTAAATTGGATAGCTATTCTAAGGAAACGACACCAATTAACCAAATATTCGGTGGTTATATACGTACTGAAGTAAAGTGCCTGCAGTGTCAACATGTATCTACCACATTTCAACACTTTCAGGTAATTAGAAGTTTATTATGTAGTAGAGTTTTGTGTACGCGCGTAATTTGTAGGAGAAAAAGGATTTTATCTTAAGAAAGGAAATTTTTCAACAGGACTTGCTTGTGGATATACGCAAAGCAAATACATTGGATGAAGCGCTAAGTAGTTACTTCAGTAGAGAACAGTTGGACAACAATGATTATAAATGCGAAGCCTGCAAGAGAAGAGTTCCTGCTACCAAACAATTTACACTAGAACGCCCGCCAAAAGTGTTGTGTGTACAGTTGAAGCGATTTAGCGTTTTAGGAGGAAAGATATCTAAACACATCGGTTTTAAACAGACTATAGATATGGGCCGATATCTGTGGAGAGAACCAGGAGAGTCTCCTAAGCAGCTCACGTATAAACTCATGTCCGTGGTGACACATATGGGTCCCTCCGTGAATTGTGGCCACTATACAGCGATCGCGCAAGTGTCGAGCGGTCAATATTATACATTCGATGATTCCTGCGTTCGTCCAATAAGCCTTAATAACGTATTAAGTACAAACGCATACATTATGATTTTTGAAATGAATAGCTCTAGCCAGAGTCAACAGACTGCTAAAGTAAATGGCACGACATCCGCCAAGAGCGTGTCGATTTCGCTACCTAGTTCTACAAATAAATCGCTCGTATCGAAAGCGTCCACATCCGCTGGATGTTCCACAAACGGATTGTCGAGCGAATTATCAAGTAACAATGATAATTCAAGTAATATATTAATCGGGCCGCAGTTGCCGGCGCAAAAAAGCGTAGAATCGAATATTCCCACACAGAAATGTACCGACAGTAGCCCAAGCACACAATTGTCACAAAAGACGCAAGATAAACCGCAGCCGAGATTAGTTATGCACATTAAGAATGGGAAAGTTTTGAATGGAAACAGTTTGGTACCCTATGATGGTTCCAGCGAGGAAGAAGACACTTGTTCCTACGGAAGTACGAAAAATCAAACGTCGAGTACCGTATCCCGAGTTAATTCTACAAATACCACAAACGGTGTGCCAAAATGTTCCGTTGCAAAAGACACGTCGAAGCTGGTCGTCAATTGTAAAGAGACACAGAAAGTCAACGTTAAAACCAACACCAATATCATACCGATAACGACGCAGGCTACGGTTGTACAATACGCAAAAACGCAAAGCGGGTCTAATAATAATAATAGCCGAATAAGTTTGTCGAAGCATCAGAATGGGAGAACAGAAATGAACAGTCAGGCAGAACGTGACCAAGATACGTGGCATCAGCCCGTCAGAACTAAGAATATACAGGAGGAGAAAGTGCCTACAAAGGCTACAAGTAGCAGCATCAAGGGCTGGCAAGTTTCTAAAGATACTCCCTCTCCTGCATCCACTGGGACGCCTAACGGATGGTCCGTTACAGATAATCGGTATATCTTCTATTATTAACGTGATTCTATTATTACGACTGCATAACGATACGATTATAAAGAAATATTCTATTGCATTCTTCTTTCAGGGAAGATTCTAAGTCGAATCAAAGTAGCACAACACCAAGTGCTGCAGCTGTACGGGATTTTAATGGTACCAATCGTTCGGATACTGTTTCGCATTTACAGAAAATGTCATATCGAGGATATGGCAATTCTTCGGGTAAGTATATGCTGCAAGAGAAAATCACAAGTAACTCATTCCTAGATTGTCTCGAGTCTGTGTGCCTTTTTTCTTATTTTTTCTTCTTTTTTTTATATTGGCTTCGTATAGAAATAAGCATCTTGATACAGTTTTAAAAAACCAACTCGTTATAAACTCTTGTGTTTTTTATTCGTAGTGTTGAATTGGAATGGTGGTAGAACACAACTCGACCGGGACGTTGAAAATGACAGACGGGAAGAACGCAAACGTCATTTCAACGCGGATGACGAAGAAATAGACAGGGGTCGAGTAAAGAAAGTCAAGGATCGTCGATCGTACGAAGGTAGAGCTAGTATGAGTTACAATTCATTCCAAGAGTACCAAAACGTCAAACATTGGAATCGACCCGTTAGTAATTATCATCGAAGACATTATTATAATACTTCTTACGGACGCTCACGTCATGGGAATGGCTACAGATCCCAGCATTATAGATATCACAATCACTCTCGTGTCTGGCGTGAAAGACTAAGCGGGTGAAAGATCGAATCGTATACTAGGGACTGTATCAATGATTTGAACGAATAGACTGCATCAGTTCTTACTGCATAGATACATCATTTCTCAGTACGGTTCGAAAGTCAGGACCTGCGTCAGGACCTATGAGGTTTCAATAGTTAATACGCACGTTCATCAAAGACAATGATACATTCGCGTATTTCGAAATACTATTATTGCATGTTCCTGATAGGTTTGTGGCGTCATCTGCCTCTGTTGTATAAGTTTGACACATAACTATTGCCGTAAAAAATAAAGAAAAATAGAACAACCCATGGGGGATGAGTATCACCAATTGTACCAATTTGTGTTCAACGTGAGTTTTAGAAATTTTTTCCTGATCACGATATGAGAGGAACTAACTAGTTTTAAGAGAGGCATATTCGCTATTAAATCACTAGATTTTCAAGAAATAAAGTTATAACTTGATAATTATATATAAATTGTGAATATAATTGTTATTTAATGCAGTTTTCAAAACTTTGAATATTGTCGACTTGATTAATTTTTAGGACGAGTGTCTAAAAATATATTATTAAAAAAAAAATATGTAATAAAAATTTTATTGGAACACGTAGTGATTTAAAGTTACATTTATTCAGACATTGAAGTAGAAATTATCTATTGTTATTATTGCTTATATCTAAGGTACTATATTGTATGTAGTACTACATCATATATATATATATATATATATATATATATATATATATATAT